TCGGACCACTCGCACGGTATGGGTCCTTGTCTCACTCACTCATTCACTTAGTATCAAGCAGGCAGTCCACCCTAATTACAGGGCACAATAGTTCTTGAGTAAGTGCGAACGCAAAACTACGGTAAACATTGCATGCTCCACTACCATAGCACGCTATTCTTCTAGTAATTAAGTACATCCTGAGTGGGGCCTCATGAAAACTTTTTGCTCAAGTGCCAAGAAAGTTTGTAGAGCATCTATAGAGAGGAGATGGTACAATTGGCCCCCTCCCCCCTGTTACTCTGGATTGATGGACATTTTGGGACTTTATATTTGAAATTGTGGATACACTAATAAGTTAAAACCATAAAATATTGGTAAGAAAGAAAGGAAATAATCTGAGAACATAATTCTGACTAAAATCATAATAATAGTGATTAGCAGCTCTAGAATTTGTGAAAATGCAGAATGCAACTTTTAGAAATAGTAATAAATAATCTCTTCTCCAGCAATCTGACATGCTTACTGATACTCACTCAATCAGATTTACATTTATAATTTACCCAAATATTTACAAGTAGAAATTCGCAGTTTAGCATATGAAAAATATGAGAAATATTGTGCCTAATACTATGCACTTTGTCTTCCTTTCAGCTCCTTACCCTGCTCATGAAAGGTGAGAGCATAGAAGGTGCGAAAGACTAATTTTAAAAGAAATTATTTATAATAAATCATCAAAGAAATATGGTTAGAAATTCACCAATGAAGGAAAATTGCATTTTTAATTCAAAGCAGAAAATCACCAGTAAGATAGAAAAGCATGATACCATTTTCTCCAATAGAATGTGTACTTGACACCCTCGATCCAGAATAACATTTTTGCATCACTGCATTATATGCTCACAATAATAAACCTCTCTCTCTCCCCCTCCCCTCCAACCGAAGTGATACATTTGAGAAGTTTTCACAAAAGCTTGTTATGTACAAAGTTTCAAAATGATTGTTTGTTAGCGAAGTATTAATAATTTGAAAGAAATGGAAAACGTGAAAAGAGAGGTCCGCGAAAATGAACTAACTCAAACGCTCAACTTCGCTAGAAAATTTTTTACCCCCCCCCCTCCCCCTTATAACATTTACCCTTAAAACCTTGAACTCAACCAGGTTTTACTACAATAACATTTAATTTCAAAGTGAATAGTCACACACTTTTAACCATAGAAACAGAAAAGCACAAAGGTGTCCCGAAGATTATGGCCTATAGTGAGTAATCTCAATCTAAAACCAAATCTTTAGTGAACCCAATAGATATCCTAAGGACCAGAAAAAACAAAACGAAAGCCCACAGAGACACATAAAACGTACTTGTCGATCTCGCTCCCTCAGTCGATGTACATCTTCAATCTCACTGAAGTCCGTATTGGTGTTATAGGTGTAGGTAGTGACGAACTTGTTATATTCTTCAACACCATTTACCACAAATGGGTTATTTTGTGGGTTACGAAAATAGGTGTTATATATAGCTTCGTAAGCACGGAAAGGCAAAGCGGAAATACCGCTATACAAGGTTGGATTTACGTTAACAGCATCTTGTTCCAAATAGGGTGATGATGCATCATAATTGATAGTAATAGCGAATTCAGTGATATTAGCAGTAGGGCAAGATACAGATAAATAAATATATTCATTATCAGGAAAATGGTCTTTGATTTTATTGATTTCAGTTTCTCCAAGACTAAAATTACCATCACCTAATATAGATAGCGAAGGTGTTCTATCAGGACTTTGAGGGATTTCGTCAGCACTAATGGAGAATGAAAGTTTGGCACTACTAGACAAAGAAACTGATGAAATAGACTTAATTGAGTTAGGCAAACGAACAGAAAAGAAACGATAAGCAGTAGCAGTAGTTAGTTTAGAATTAGTATAAGTTAAAGAACTTTCACTTGTAGATCCTGACTGCATATTAGTGTTTAGCAATGTATTATCATAATGGGAGTTATCCAAAACAAAAGTCATTTCGCTACTACCACCTCCACTATAATATCGTGTTGGAATACCAAGATAATCACCTATACCTCCGGTACGGAACATTTTTTTATGTTGCTCATCGTTAGGAACGGACAGAGTAGGAAATACAAGGTCACTCTTAGTACCTGTGATAAAATCTTGCCAATCTTTCCACAATGTACGGTTTCGTACATAGAAATAATGCGTGTAGGCTCGCATGCGTGTAGTGATAGGGTACATCATTGGCATGAACTGAACGTTAACATTGTCTTTAATCTCAAATGAATCACCTGGGAGTACCTCTTTTACAAGGGTAGGATAAATTTTTCCGAACTTCATAGTTAATGAGTTGGAGTAACTCAAATCGTAGGCAATACGATTGGGTTTTTCACCCTCTTGGGGCTTAGTTCTAAATGCATTAACTGCCATAATAAATATTTTAAAGGGTTAATATTAAAATACCTCTCGTGAGGCTGATTTGTTCCATAATTTGAGTGTATCAAAGGCTTTTTGTAAACAAAGTGTAATATCGTATTCGGTAGCTTGTTTTAGCTTCTCAACACGGTTTTTAGTACGTAAATCTTCCATGTGAAACAGTTCTAATTGTGTAGGTACATGGTGCATGTCTGCATATCTTTGTAATAGTCTTAAATGCGTAGTAAACATCAAACGTGCATCTGACACTTTTCTAATTATTTGTTCATCAGAAAGGCATAACAACACATCGATTTTTCTCAATTCAAACTTATCTTTATAATTAAGTGGTAGATATGCAGCATAACACTTGAGTATTTGTGTAGTTATTATTTGAAAAGCTTCAATGTCAAAACATTCCATTAAATCGCATTGAGGTTTAATAGGGTGATTAAGGTACGCAATAATAGCGGAACATGAATCGATAAAGCTAGATAAAGAGTTTCTAACATCCAAAGGAAGCATATCCGATTTTGATGGAAATAATTTTGATGTATAGTACTTTGACATGGGTATAGAATATGTTTTAGTTATATTAAATGGATTTTTACATGAAAGAGTAACGTCATACGGATGATTTCTATGATAGGTTATCATATCTTCCGTTAAATAAGATGCACCCACAACATTTCGATTACTATAGCGGAACGTCATAGTAGGACGCTCTAACTTCGTACATTTGACAGCTCCGATTAACCTAGGTACGAATCCAAGTAAGCGGATTTCCATTGTATCGACTGGGAATGCTCGTTGTGATTGAACTCGACTTGTATATTTGTACCACTCTTTGTTAAGTTGGTCAAACTGAATGTCTTGATTTCGGGCATTATTGATTTCATCAATTTGCGATTTTTCTGCACTACTGACATAACTTGACGTCGGTTCTTGCGACCGAACTTGTCGTACATCATACACTCTTCCTCGAACTGATTTATTATCATTTGTTCGTGGTACGTTCGCTTTTTGTAAGTATTTCGTGACATATTTAACGAGATTTTTTACTTGTTTATCAATATCAGGGTCAGTAAGTTTTGGTCTTGTTACGTACACAAAACCTAATTCTTCAAAGAGATATGTTTTACCTTGTTTGATACGTTTATTGTCTTTGTCTAACTTATACGTTGACCATGCAGACAAGATAAGGTTGTAAACCTCTTTATAGTTAAGTTGTGATGGGATGCCCCATATAAGGGCATGATAGTGAGGACGTCCGAATTTTGAGCCATACTCACCACATAAATAATACTTTAATTTACAATCGTAACCAAGTCGGACTAGTTTTTGTCGCAAGCGCTTTAAAAAGTTAACCGTATCAGTGGGTCGCAAACATTTGTCTTTAGGCAAATGCAAAGGGTTGTAAGTTAACGTTACATAGTAAGGGACATCACCAGAAGTATAGGTTTCCATAAGAGCACGTGTTACTTTTTCCGACTGTCTGTTATCAATGCAATTAACGCACTTACCACAAGGCACAGGTATAAAAATAAAATCATTATTTTGCCGAGGACCAATAAAATAGTCTTGGTAATTGCGCATGCTAATGTTATACCTTTTAGGAGTAATTTTGCCACTATTGTGGAGATAAAGTATATAATCATGGATATTTTTTGATTTGCAATCATAAACATCTTGACCTAAATGCAATATTTTGTATCTTTGCATCTTGTCAACGAAATTTTTGTTTAGTATGAAGATAGGTTTTAAACAATTCATTCTAATCACTATTATGATTATTTTGCCGCAAATATAAATTCTTTTTTGGAATTCTCCAAATAATTACAAAAAAAAATCGCCCCCCAAGCGCACACGGGCTGTTTCTGCTACGCAGAAATGCGCGCGCTTGGGGGCGATTTTTTTTCTCTTACATTCATACCGAAGGTGACTATCTGGCTGAATACCAATTATGTGTCACTTCGCCTATTCCTATCAAGTTAGGGGGGGGCAAGAAACACGTATTTTCTTGCTAACCCGTAATCTGCAAATATGCAGAATTACATTTTAATTATGGAAACGATTGGGTATTAGGGATATTAGTAGGACTTCCGAACGGTTTTTTTTTGTTGTTTAGCACGGAATCAGGTTTAAGGTGTGCGGCTGATGTGACGTTCGATAATGTTATTGGGTTAGTGTCTTTAGAATCCTAACCGCACTTCGTGCTTTTTGGTACTAGACGTTATGGGGGCTTAATAAGCCCCCTATACCCCAAATATTTTTTTTTATAAAGGCATGGCAAAACTAGCAAAGCCTTTAGCAATAGAACCTACAATGAGATTTAAAGATTTACTACCACTTTCGACAAGTTTAAAACCTCGTTCCCAATTTTGCCACTTTTGGTCTTGTGAGAGGTCAAATGTTAATCGATCGTTTTGCAATTGTACATTCATACCTTGTAGTCCTTGTAAATATGTGTTCATGGACACATTTTGTCCTAAAATGGTCTTGTATGTAATATCGGCAAGGGTAGCCGCATTTTCAACGCCTAAACGGTGTATTTGTGCGGTTGTGAGGTTCTTACGGATATGGGTTTCAATCTTCTTCAATGCCAGTTCTTCTGTCATGTAGGCTATATGCGCTCTAGCTTCATCGGTCTTAGCCTTGATTTCCGACATTTCGTAATTAGCCTTTTGAATCCGTGTCATTACCTCGCTCTGTTGGTCGTTAGTTAGGTTGGTAAGAGCTTTTGTATTTTCAATCTGCACGTTCTGCAAACTTACTTGACCTTTTTCAAGGGCTGCACGAAATTCGGCAACACTAGCGAAATAATCTTGTTCTTGATTTTGACCGCTAGTCTTGGATTTGAGATTTTCCGCTTGTTGCTTTAATAGCTCGGTTTGTGCTACCTTTTGATTAAGGTCGGCAGTATAGCCAAGGGCAGCAGCAACAGATGAACGTTTTGAACCTAAAGCGCTAAAATCAGTAGGATTGTAATTTGGAGTTTGTTGTTGCGCACTCATACCCGTTGCAGATTGTACAAGCAAGTCGGGGTTAAAACCCGCTTGTTGATACATTGCTTTTTGATTTACGGGTGAGTTATATAGATTTTGCTCCGCAATCATTTTTTGGTTAAATTGTCTTGCTTTCTCATTTTCGGCCTGTTGTGCTTGTATTTGTTTATCTATAGCTTTGTTTTGTTGGTGACTAGAAATAAGATTAGCTCCAGCACCCAGTACACCAGTTGCAATAGTTGCAATGGGGTTTGTTATAAAATCTAAAAGTCCCATAATGTATATTTATTTGTAAGTTTTTACAAAAAAAACAAGAGTGCGGCAGTTTGATGAAATGCCAACACTCTAGTATTTTTGCATGTTTATTTACCTAATAAGATATTTTTAACACGCTTGCTCTCGTTGTAAACGTCAACAATGTCAACACCTCTTTTTCTATCTAGAGGTATCTCAAAATCACAATTAGGTGAGCCATCATAGAAACTACCAGATGCATTATTAGCATCAACGGGAAGACCTCGTTGGGTTAATTCTTGCACATCTTTAGGGCTTATAGACAAGCCCGATTTCACATTACTTTCCGCAAAGGTTTGCGGCTTAATCTTCGATTTTCCGTATCTCATAGCTTTCGGTGTTAGATGTTATATACTTGATTAGTGTTTTAGCTGCCACATGGCTGGCAATACATGAGGATAGTAGCGATATTAATACTACCATAATCACAAATAAAATAGATTTTTCTTTCATGGTTATTCAAGTTTTGCAACAGAGTTAAGAGGTATGCATGTTTTTTTACTAATCTCAAATGTGACGTTAGCCAACATTTTGTCAGTATCTTCAGTGTTGGCGAATACATTTGTTAATGTTGAATGGTCAACGGTGGTCAAGTCAGCAGACAAGCTCGGAGTATTGGCAAACAAACGGTTCATTATGTAAGAACGAAGAGTACTTCTAAACTCACCGTGTACCTCATCAAGACTAGCAAGATAATCGTACCATGGTCGCTGATAGCCAAACGTTTGGTTAGCTTTTTCTTCTACTTTAGATTGGATGAAGGCAATTTCTTTATTAAGAATAGGCTGCAAGCCTATGTGTCCAAACTCTGGACTAAAGTAATCTAACTGATGATTCTTAAAGTAGAACTTTGGTATAGCTTGTTCATATTGAGGAACGGGCACAACTGATATGACACCGATAATGAAGCCGTGTTCATCACAATACTTGGTAATGCGATTTCCACTACCTACAGCATATGGCAATCCAGCAGTAGTGCCTAATGGTGTACCACTTTCAAGTGCATCCGATGATTGAACAACGGAGTTCATATTTACACTAACTGCGTGACCGCCTATGAACTCTGGCATATCTAATGTATCAAACTTTGGTGTAACATTGAAATGCGACATAATTTGGTCACGATAGCGCAGACCTAGACGTATAGAATTTTCAAGGAATCGCTGATAACTGTTTACGTTGCGGAGGTCATTAATGCTAAATCCGAGTGTACTCATTTCGGTAAGCATACGCAGATTTTCATTTGGCATGGTTTTAGAAGTAACATTGTAGCCTACAATGGTTTCACCATCATCGGCAAATTGTGCCTGAGCAGTGTATGTGCCGTTATCATCAGCAAAGGTTAGTTTACCGGTAGAACTTACACCTACCATAGGGGCAACTGCTAAAATAGGATTCTGCAAAGCGGTTGTGAATTGGTCACTTTCCCAATTGCGGTTATAAAGCTGATAAGGGGTATTATCAATACCTCCATTATCATTAGTGACGAACTTGTTATATTCTTCAACACCATTTACCACAAATGGGTTATTTTGTGGGTTACGAAAATAGGTGTTATATATAGCTTCGTAAGCACGGAAAGGCAAAGCGGAAATACCGCTATACAAGGTTGGATTTACGTTAACAGCATCTTGTTCCAAATAGGGTGATGATGCATCATAATTGATAGTAATAGCGAATTCAGTGATATTAGCAGTAGGGCAAGATACAGATAAATAAATATATTCATTATCAGGAAAATGGTCTTTGATTTTATTGATTTCAGTTTCTCCAAGACTAAAATTACCATCACCTAATATAGATAGCGAAGGTGTTCTATCAGGACTTTGAGGGATTTCGTCAGCACTAATGGAGAATGAAAGTTTGGCACTACTAGACAAAGAAACTGATGAAATAGACTTAATTGAGTTAGGCAAACGAACAGAAAAGAAACGATAAGCAGTAGCAGTAGTTAGTTTAGAATTAGTATAAGTTAAAGAACTTTCACTTGTAGATCCTGACTGCATATTAGTGTTTAGCAATGTATTATCATAATGGGAGTTATCCAAAACAAAAGTCATTTCGCTACTACCACCTCCACTATAATATCGTGTTGGAATACCAAGATAATCACCTATACCTCCGGTACGGAACATTTTTTTATGTTGCTCATCGTTAGGAACGGACAGAGTAGGAAATACAAGGTCACTCTTAGTACCTGTGATAAAATCTTGCCAATCTTTCCACAATGTACGGTTTCGTACATAGAAATAATGCGTGTAGGCTCGCATGCGTGTAGTGATAGGGTACATCATTGGCATGAACTGAACGTTAACATTGTCTTTAATCTCAAATGAATCACCTGGGAGTACCTCTTTTACAAGGGTAGGATAAATTTTTCCGAACTTCATAGTTAATGAGTTGGAGTAACTCAAATCGTAGGCAATACGATTGGGTTTTTCACCCTCTTGGGGCTTAGTTCTAAATGCATTAACTGCCATAATAAATATTTTAAAGGGTTAATATTAAAATACCTCTCGTGAGGCTGATTTGTTCCATAATTTGAGTGTATCAAAGGCTTTTTGTAAACAAAGTGTAATATCGTATTCGGTAGCTTGTTTTAGCTTCTCAACACGGTTTTTAGTACGTAAATCTTCCATGTGAAACAGTTCTAATTGTGTAGGTACATGGTGCATGTCTGCATATCTTTGTAATAGTCTTAAATGCGTAGTAAACATCAAACGTGCATCTGACACTTTTCTAATTATTTGTTCATCAGAAAGGCATAACAACACATCGATTTTTCTCAATTCAAACTTATCTTTATAATTAAGTGGTAGATATGCAGCATAACACTTGAGTATTTGTGTAGTTATTATTTGAAAAGCTTCAATGTCAAAACATTCCATTAAATCGCATTGAGGTTTAATAGGGTGATTAAGGTACGCAATAATAGCGGAACATGAATCGATAAAGCTAGATAAAGAGTTTCTAACATCCAAAGGAAGCATATCCGATTTTGATGGAAATAATTTTGATGTATAGTACTTTGACATGGGTATAGAATATGTTTTAGTTATATTAAATGGATTTTTACATGAAAGAGTAACGTCATACGGATGATTTCTATGATAGGTTATCATATCTTCCGTTAAATAAGATGCACCCACAACATTTCGATTACTATAGCGGAACGTCATAGTAGGACGCTCTAACTTCGTACATTTGACAGCTCCGATTAACCTAGGTACGAATCCAAGTAAGCGGATTTCCATTGTATCGACTGGGAATGCTCGTTGTGATTGAACTCGACTTGTA